TGGTTCAGGATGCAGTGCACATGTATGTATGTATGCATGGTGGGTGATTGATAATTCAGTCCACTGATTGGTTTGTCACTACTCTAATCCTGACCTCAATATAAGAGATGTGAAAAAAGGGTTGTCTTGTCTCTTGCTTTCTTTGCTATCTTCTGCCTTCCATCAACTGTTCTGCTCTGCTCTGCCTCTCTGCTACTGCTTCCTGCTTTGGAATGGGCCAATTATGGACTGAAGCCTCTAGGAGCAGTAAACTAATACATCTTTCCCCCTTTAACTTTGAATGGTGGGTATTTTGTCCAGCAAGGAGAGAAAAGACAGACTAAAATGCCAGTCACTTATAAAATTGGTAAAGAAATGGCCGTATATCCCTATCATGGCATTCCATTTAGACATAACAAGAGGGAATACTGACAATAGAAGAGGATAAATGTCCAAGCACTCTGCTAAGTGAAACAGCCCGGAAGCAAACGACCACTTCCTTGTGACACCATGTGAACGAAATACTAAATAAAATTGCATTGACACAAAGCGTATCACTTCAAGGCGCTAAAGCTCCTGGGGTGGGGGAGGGGTACTGGCAGCTTTGCTCTTTTGTACAGTTTCATAGCAGTTCTATGCTTAAACTTACAGAATAACACTAACCCTAGCTCCTATGGTCACAGTACAATATTCTGTGAAACTTGTTCCAAGCCGCAGGGGGTGTGGAGGCGCCAGTGGAGCCGAGGTGCCTCTTCGACAGCCATTTCCTGTGGTTCATGCGACTGACACATGATTCAATACACAAGGAATAATAGTGAGTGATTCCTAAATGATGGCTTCCTCAGCCACCCCGCACACAGGGCCCTGACCAAGTTGACCTCCGCCGCCTCCCCTGGGGTCAATTTCCCTTTTCTTTTCCAGTTCGGTTCAATCCAGTCAGAACACAGGGTTTCCCGCCGCGTGAGGCCGGCCCCGCCCCCAGCAGCACGCGGCAGAGCGGGGCGGGGCTACGCACCGGGCCGCGCCGTCCACCACGACTCGCGCTGCGCGACGCCCGACGCAGACTCGACGCCGCCGGTCCCCTCCCGGCATTCGTCGCCGTCGTCGCCTAGCGGACACGGAACCACAGAGCAGTGATGGAGCCCAGGCGACCAAGGAGGGTGCGGGGCGCCGCGCGCGCGCCCCCCCAGCCACAGCCCCGGCGCCCGCCCGCCACGCAGCTCTGGCTCTTCCCGGGCGCCCCGGGGCTGCACGGCGGGCTGCTGCGGCGGGCGG